TAGAATAATTATATTGGACATCAAAATAGTTTTTTTAAACCTTAGAAATTTTAGCTGTTACGATGCGCGTCGTCTGTCCGTTCTTGCGAGTTAATCTTTAAACACACACAATACACTGTCGCAGTATATATCTATCTTAGAAGCTTATTGCTTTATCGCTGTATACATTTCTATAGATCCTTAAAGAGGAATCATCATTTCTCATATATTTTTTGAGAATTTTCAATCGTATTTGCAACGCGCGCAACGGAATCCCAATATTTTTTTACATTTCTACTATTTCTTCGCGGTCGCAGCGTACTTTTTTTATACATAGCCTTCTTCGATAGATATCATGCCAGGCTAACCAATTCAAGAAGACCAAACCTTTCAGCTTTATCAAATTAGAATAGATACAGATCTATTTTAAATAGTACTTGTAGCTATAGAAGCTTATTAGGGTAGTGTTTTTACATATTATGTATTTAATAGAGTTTGTAAGTTTTAAGGTCGAAATAGCGTTGTGAGAGGGCACGGTAGATCGATTGCTAAATTAAAAAATAAGTCACCATATTGTACCTCTATCAATAATGAGGGCTATTAGGTATATACGAAAGTCACAATATTCATGCCCGAACTGAGAAATACGAGCATGATTCGCGGAATCCAATGAATAGATATTCAGGTCGTAATTGGTTCAACATTAATCGGGTTCGATCGTAAATTCAATTTTCCATTTTTGGTCTTCAATAGGAATCTGTTTTTGCGCTGTCAAAAAGAAATTGAATTATAATGAATGTCTTGTAATAATGATTGATGATATAAGCAGTTTGTATTATCCTCTTTGCGGGTAAATTAAACATCGAAAATAAATTGAAAAAAAATTACGACCCGGGAAGGACTTGAACCGGCATCGTCAGCGTTCCGTGATGTTGCTCTAACCAATTGAGCTACCGAGTTCTACACGTAATCGTACGCTTTTTTTCAACTTATTGATTCATGTACCTCTCGCGCAATGTAATTTAAACCCTAATGTTTACGCATTAAGGTTCAGATCAAAAAATATACAAAAATCCAAATCCAAGCCACGGAGAGGCTTAAATCGTTCCATCCATATATAGACAATTATAGATAAGAGTCAATCCGAACAAATTAATAAATATATTTTTTTAAGATTCGATCTCTCGCGCTGCTAGGTAAAACGTCAATAGCAGTATTGCTTCGCTTCATTCATAATTAATCCCCCTTTTCGAAAGCCCTACATCTAATCCGGAGTTAAGCCAGAAAGGACCCGGATATGAGACAGACCAAATCGATCAATAGATTATGTTAATTCCTCGTTTCTATCTTTTGATTGAAATTGATAAACAACATTTGGTTTAGTAAATAAGGACATGACTTATTTAACTTTTAAGTGGCATGTAAAACTAAACCTCTTCGGAGTGGTCTAACTCAGTCTGTAACACAAGAGTATGGTTAAGTGTGTATGGTATTGTTTTAGTATCAATCCTCGACTTCATTATAGACTAGCTGTGCCAGCGACTTCGTCTACGTAGAATAGTTATTTTCGGCATCTAAATTTGTTTTTGCATACCTCTTTATAAATTATAGCCGTTACTCACCACGTCGGCCGCGTCACATCGTTCTTGTAAGTTAATCTTAAAAGATATATAGCTGGGGTATTTCCCCTACGATCAAGACTACGTTTTTATTTACGTAGAGAAGACTATGATAAAAAAAATGTTTTGAAACTTAATTTAACGTAAGTCGTTTAGAAATTGAAAGCATTAAAACATGTCTGTTAATTCACAGTTGACTTCAGTCTCCCGGGATTTGATCCTAGGTACCTCTTAAATCCGTAACTAATGCGTTTAACTGTTGAGCCCCAGTGAAAAGTTAATATGTAATGCATAATATGTAATAGCTATTATTTCCGCGACGCATTTTCAGTTCTAAATATACGGCGATACATTTTCATAATCGTTACGGCGCAGCGTTAGCAGTAGTCAAAGCGAAATGTTTTGTTTATAAACAAAGCCCCGAGCTGCTGCAGCGATGACAGGGTCTGGACGTGAAACTGCTTTGACACGTGTCGCTTTCAGCGATCACGTGCTTTGGCGGGAAAATTCCCAGCCTTGTTATTTCTGGACAAGCAGTTTTTCAGCGCTATGTATTAGGTACTGTTACTTTGTAGTTACACTGTAATAAGGAACTAGTCTCTAATGTACTAGCTGTGCACGCGGCTTCGTTAGTGTAATAATTAGCGTCAAAAAATATTTTTGCAACACTTGCTTCTCATCTTTATAAAATTTTGCTGTTTAGCCGTGCGCGCGGACATTCGGTTAGTGTCGTTCCTTACTAGTTATTTGAGGGTTTCTCGAACCGTTTTGCAGAGCACGCAACGGGATCTCAAAAAAAATGGTTTTTGCGTTTTTCAAAATACCCCTCCCCCCTCCCCCAGCCGGCCCTTGGGGGGCGGGGAGGTTAAAGTAAAAGCCTCCCTCTTTAGCTTAACATTGCAAAATATTAAGTATATAGGTTAGAAAGTGTCATGGGCCGCACTCCACCAAAACGTCATGGTCATATCTACTATGGGTCTCGATTTAAACCGTTAAAAATGTTTTTGAAGGGTGCATCACTTGCGTAAACTACAGATAATACTCAGTTAACGTTTTACTTAGTAACTAGAAAATATTAACCGGTTTTAGCATCACAGTTAAAATAAACAAATGCCTGCATTAAAACCAACCCTTCAATAAAATAAAGCAATATTATCTGACACGTTTTTTAAAGTATATTACCACGATATTATTGATAATAAAAACTGCATTCGCCTTTTACAAATGAAAAATCCATTTTAGATTGAAAAGTTATGAGATTTTTGCACGAGAAGTTTCCCCTTCTCTTGCAAGTTTCTGAAGTTAATCAAAAGTAAAACGCAATTAAATTAAGCATATTTCAATCAGGAGCACTCACAGAGGGGTAGTTACCGCTACGATTGGTACAGTTGCAAATTACTTGTACCTCGAAGCAATTCGCAATAATTGATTCTATAATATTGATTCCCTCTTGCGAGTGCGTTTAGGTCTCCAGACACAAAGGCTGTACTTGTAATTAGAGACGTGTAGATGTTTATGTTGGTTATTGTCGATGGATACAATATTTGTTACATAAGATTGTTGAGACTTGTGTGGAACTCAATATTTACTTGTAGATGTATGTAACACGTACATTATTATCGATGACATATCTGGAATTAAATTTTGCTAGTTTTTACATTTTGTTTATACAAATGTTGTTTTAACACAATATTTATTGTGCCTCTCACTGTTAAATTCGGGGGCAGGGGCAGGAAATTAGTCGAATATTAGTTACTCTTAGTATACAAATACATACTTAACTCTTGCATTCTACACATACTATTTATTGAAAAACAATTTCGAAATTTCTCTGGAACGGTCCACGTTCAACACGATAAAAAAATATCTACTGTGCATATATATTAATAGGTCGTCAAATAATTTATTTACGTAAAAAGTTTCGCACTTCTTGCAAATGTCTATTTTTCTTATTAAGGTTCTTTCTAGTCGGGTTGCCTCGTCGGAAGAGATCGCTAATAGCGATAAGGCCCGGTACTTTCTATAGTTGTAATTTTTTTTTTGTCCCTGTATGTTTTGTGTCTCAAAGAGTAAAGTATAATAAATTCTAAGATACTTCTAACACTTGGAATTGTGTACGATCGATGATAATTACCTAATGATATAAGTACAGACCATACTTCGTGTACTATTGTAAATAAGGGTCGTCGAGTAAATCCTTTCGGATCGTTTCTACCTTTGTTAAGTGTGTATTAACCCCTGATTATACAGGTACAGTAAACAATGTACTTAAAAGCATTGTGATTTGAAGCCACTATATTTATTATATACTAGTAAAAGGGTTGGTACTTAAAAGTACATACACAAGTAAAGAGTACATTTCAAAGCAACATTAGGCAAAACAAACACACAGTTGCGAGTTTCCTAAAACCAAGTCTCCTAGTGAAACTTTAGAAATGTTATCAAATCTAACAGCTTAGTGCCTCGGAGCCAAGCTAGTTTTGCGGATAACTTCGCGAAATCTTAAGTATCTAATTGTTCACTGACTCCAGTGAACAATAAGACGGACTCGTGCCTAGTTAACTCAACTGTACAATTTAACTACCATATAGACGGGAAACGCGATGTGTATTTTAGGAGTGAATGTTTTCTTTTTTTTACATTTTCCTGTATGTACGAACGTATTCCAAAATGATTGAAAATTAGATTCGATTGTTCGACAAATGTACACTTCACTCGTACAAAAGTTTTTCGAATAACTGAGCTACTGTAATTCGAATTTCGAATTTTTAATTTAGTTTACGAATTTGCTTAAGTATTCTGTTTAATTTTTTTTTGGCAATAAAAATATGTTCTTTCTTTCGTTGAATAATTTTAAATAGATACACTATATACATTAAAAAATACAAAGGGACAGGACTTGAACCGGCATTCATAGCGTTCCGGGCTGTTGCAATAACCAATTGAGCTACGGAGTCCTACGCGTCATCGTCTAATTATTTAAATCTGTTAGACATCCACCTCTCGCGCCATACCGCCATGACCGCCTCAGTAGCCAAATAGTTAAAGGTATTATTTATATGCTAGCATTGCGTTAAGCGTCCTGGGTTCGAATTCCAGGGAAACAAAAAATTGTTTCGGTCGGGCAGGGCACAGAAGTTGGATCAACTACTTGCCTGTTAAAGAGCGGATCAGCGAAACGGAAACAAAAATGTTTTCGCCCCATGAGGGGAAAACAAGATTTTACATACATACCTCTCGCAAAATATTTGATACTCTATAGTTGGGTATTTTTTTATTAACCATTCATGCTCCAAAGAAATAACAACTCATAAACCTTACTTTTTTTTATAGATTTTATTTTGCTTCTAGGTAATAACAGCAAGCCGCTGTCTTGTCTTGTGTGCTGAAACTCGTGGCGAAATGGAAGCTTGGTCCGGAGCGTTACGTGGCGCGTTGCACAGCGGTTCGAACGTCGCAGACCTAGTTGCCAGTCTGTCTCGTGGTGATCATCATTGGTGAGTATGGGAATGAAATAATCTGTCGGCCTAGCATATGTATAAACTAGAGATGGGCCGAGTACTCGGTTGATACTCGTTACTCGGTGGCTTTTTTGATACTCATACTCGGCCGAATAACTCGGGTATACTTTATTATTTGATAGCGAGCACACTTCGTTTAAGAAAAGCAATATATTTAGGTAGATGTAATTAAAACAACAGTGATAACGCATAAGTATTTACTAGTAATTTAGGAAAGATTTGATTGATTAATAAAATGAATATTATGCTAATGAATGAGAGAAAATTACGAAAACAGTAATAAAAATAATCCGTATTTAACATTTAATGGGAATTCGATTGAACCGAGTAACTCGGCCGAGTTGAAGAACAATTGAGCCGAGTAAAACACGGTACTCGCTACTCGACGAATCTACCTCAAATACCGTAAATAAACGAATGTATCAGTTAAACGTGAACGTGTTAGCCCCAAGCTCTACCGGGGGAAACGATACTAGGCACTAACTTATTTTCTGTATCAAAACTATGTTAGTATTTTATCACTTCTGCTCTGACTATAATATGGGCATTGTCATACGCTATATCCGGATAAAATAATGTTCGAAAATGAATTGAAAAAATCGTCGACTCGGGCAGGATTTGAACATCATGTGCAATGCCATTATGTGCCAAAATATTAAAGCTTTTAAAATAATGTTATTCTTCAGGTACGCAGCTACACACGCCCGACCGACATTTTGTAACGTCTGTCGGGAGTCCCTCGGCGCTCTAGGGACGGCTCACGCCCTCGCTTGCGAACTCTGCAAATTCAAAGCACACAAGAGATGCGCTGCGCGGGCGCCGCCATCTTGCAAGTGGAGTACACTGGCTTCGCTCGGACCGCATCTGGTGGAGGATGCTGATGGCGTATGTTTTCTTTATTTAATTACAGCTACTGTGTCCAGGCTGTTTCGTATTTTTTAAATATAAATTAAAGTTTAATAAGTACTTATAAATGTTATTTTAAAGCTTTACGTTTAGCACGTTGCAAATACATATGTTTACCTTAACGTACAAGGAAAACATCTTTACATTACAGTAAAACAAAAGATTTTTTTCGTCACAATACAAACCTAGAACTATCGCCTCTAGATATCGTGGCTATCAACAGATAGTATTATATGTATGTTATAGAGATAATTCAGAAGCTAGTTTCAGGCGGAATCAATTATACATGGTAATTGTTATTAGCTCTATTGCAACCAATGTGAAATTCAAGAGTTAATCCGACTTAGTTTTCATAATATAGGTTGAAATAGACGATGTTTTAATCATTTATAGTTTGTGCAATGTAATGAGAACGACAGACAGGTGTTAATCTTATGTTTTGATTCCATAAAAAACGTAAGAGAAACAATCTTAAAAGAAATTGTTCATTCATAGCCTAGACTTACAATAGTTCGATTGGCGTGTATCCGTTATAGATAGAAGCTACTCGGAACGAATCAAGAGCTCGAATGTTTTACGAGGCCGTAAATATAGTAATGATTTTATTTTATTGCACTCTTCGCACATATAATTGATCGCTACTTAACTACTATTAGGATTTATATTTTATGATAGCTACTATCGTTAGACAATTTAATGGATAACGACGTAACGAGTTATTTGTAACTTTATTTATGACAGAATTATTCTCTCTATATATAATAATATATAAAGCTGAAGAGTTTGTTTGTTTGAACGCGCTAATGTCAGAAACTACTGGTTCAAATTGAGCATTTATCAATAAAGGAATCAATGCTAGAAAACTGTGACTAATAGGAGCGAAGAAAAAGCGGGAAATGTGGACAAAACGTGGAAAATTATTAATCTGCGAGAGTTTCCAAAGCATACGCTGCGAAATCAGTTCAAGATAGCCAAAACATATGTATAAAGAAATGATTTCTCATTAAATGATGGAAAAAAATGTCCGCTACCATATATGTCTATCTTTTAAGATTAACTTTTAAGGACGACGGGGTGCGAGCATCGTTGTGGGTAACAGCTTAAATTTATAAGAATGAAGAGGAGCTTTGCTTAACAAATTTGGATGCCAAAATATTTTTTCTACGCGGACGAAGTCGCTGACAAAGCTAGTTCGTTAAAAGGAACGCGTACGTTATAATAAATAAAGAACAAAACATTGACGTTAATAACTTAGCTTATCGTTACCTTATTAACGACGACAAGAAAAATACAGCCAACAAAAATGTTTAAAATCTTAAAAGCTTTTATCCTATAAAGAATGTTCTGTAAAGTACAACTAATTAAAGACTTATTTTTAAACGACGCGAGTTCCTTAGAAATCTTTTTCATGTTCTATATTTTTCTCTTCGTAAGAAAGGGAATTCTTTATCAATCTTGTCTATTTTTTGCAATTTAGTTGTGATTAAATGGATGTTACTTAATGTAAGATTTTCTTTCTCAATTTATTGTCGTGAATAACAATCTATTCTTTTTGTAGAACATCATTATGCCGCACCAATGGCTGGAGGGAAACTTACCGGTGGCTGCTAAGTGTGACGTTTGCGAAAAAACTTGTGGCTCCGTACTAAGGTTAATACGATGTTTATTTCTCTACTGTTATTTTCTATCATTCTCGGCGACAGATATGAAGAGAGACTTATTGTTTTTTTTTATGATGGGGAGGTCGGGTAAATACGGGTTCACTTTCACATGTTTAATACCCCAGCCATATGACATAAAAACAAGATGTCTTGTCAACCTATTTTGATTTAGGATTTAATAACAAACTAAACAAAATCTTAATTCATTTAAAGAATACCTACATCAGCTATATAAATTAAAACACTCTATTGCAGAGATGCACAACCTCGGCCCGCCGGTTGAATACTAATGGCCGGTCGACGGAAAAATAATACACAAAATAATCAATTAGTTTCAATTTTAATACATTATCATCAATTCTTTATTGTCTTTAATTACCTATACGTCTGGCGGGCCGCCATCTGTTCGAGATTTCCCCGAGTGGCCCCTATTCTTAATATGTCTGTTGCATCCCTGTAATTTTGTTCAATCTAAAATCGATTTTAATGTATATAGTGCATGCAAACATGTGAAAAATATTTAAGTTTTCAAATACATTATAAATCTAAACTTTAGTTTTCAAATTTTAAACTATATAAAGTTCAATTCAGAACACGGCGTTTCTTAAAATATGGGATCTGAAATTAACGATCTTTATTGGGCTCGCCGAACTATCTAAAAGGTGTAAACTCTTGAAACATCTATTTCAGGAAAGTCTAGGGTAACCACACGGTTTTCTGAAGTGGGATATTTATTTTTTCTATTAAAACCTGTTAACATTTAAATTAAACACTTTAACGGTTTAAAACGCGATATATTAATTAAACTTGTTTGAAAATGATTTTTAACTTTGGCCCAACGTTTCGGATGCTTTGCAGCAGCTGTGGTCACGGGAAGACATATCGCGTTTTAAACCGTTAAAGTGTTTTATTTAAATGTGTACTACTCGCATAAAACTATAGACAGTATTCTGTTATCATTCGGTCTACTTATGATAGATATAGTTCAATATATTTGTGCAAGTTATCTCTTCTATATATTCGGTATAAGATAGTGCTTACAGCGTACCACTACTTGGTACTTTAGTTTTGCATGTTTGTAATAATTTGCTCAAGTCCATGACATCAACTAAACTTGATGTTCACGGACTCTATTTAACTTAATGTTGCAGTTGAAGTAAGCTTGCGAAGTTTGTGTATTTAGTAAATCAACAAATTAAATTATATTATTTGCCTTTTAACGGATGTGGTTTGTTTTGGGTACTCAATTCTTACAGGGGTCAGTTAATTCTTAATTAAGCTTTTGCCAGCAAGAGTGAGTTGAAGTAAACGTAGTTATTTGGCAATGTGAATATACCGTGGACCCTTTTTACCAATTCAAAGATTCGTTTATATAACACCTGGCAATTCGTGTACCTTGCAGTAAATACAAAAATGACCGTAATTTTTCATAGTGGCGTATTTGATTGCCATTCTATCGAAAAAGAGCTATTGAATACATTGCTGGATAATTTAAAAATCGAAAATAAATTGAAAAAAATTTTCGACTCGGGCAAGACTTGAACCGGCATCGTCAGCGTTCCGTTCTGTTGCTCTACCAATTGAGCTACCGAGTTGTTCATACAGACATACAATAAATACAGACAGTGGTTATTTCTTTTTTTTTTCTATAGTTTCATTTACATTTTTTTCTATTGCCGTATACTATATTATAAAATATTTTTATAATCCTTAATGTTTGGAAGTAGTGTAGAAGGGAACTTTCGCTACTAGCGAACCCAAAGATTATTACAATATCGTATCTGACTTACTACAGACCAAATACCAACAGTAGCAGTTTTTTGTTCTGTCATTAGCCTGCTGCATAGCATTCGAAAGGTCGGGATATAGTTAAATTAATTTTCAAAGGAGTTCAATTAATATATTTCGCGTTTAAAAGCGTTAAAGTATTTTATTTAAAGGCTGCAGATCAGCTTATTTATACCGAGAAGGATTTTTTTTATTCCACGTATAAAAATAGTGTTGTCACCATACCAGGCATTGTATTTAGAGTGTCAGCAGGGAATTCGAAATAGCGTCACGTTGTACCGACTACAGAATCAACGAACAGTCGGAACGTGCTTTGTTACGCGACATTAAAATATGCTATTTCGTGAACTCTGTGCCCGTTGGATAGCATATTTAGGTCTATATATATCAACCTAATTGTGTCCAATTACTGGTTTAAAGTACCTACGTCCTACCACGCTGATCCAAAATCGATCTGAGTTAACTGCAGTCGAATATGGAACTATAGGAACCATGGAACCAAGTGATTCTTAAAATTATAGGTAAAACTATGACCAATTTATAACAAATGTATTTAGCGTGCTATTTTTTCAATATATATACCTTACTAAATAAAATTGCTATTGTTTCATTAATTTTGTCATGCTTTTTTAAAGTTAAGAAGCCAATTTTCAACAAATTAAAACTATGTACGACGGAATACTCTCATCTTTTTATTCTGTCTTTACACGAAAGTGAATTCATAATTTTCACAACCAGTTTTGGCTCTATAATTGATGAAACACTACATATAACACCTTTGTTTAATACATACATAATGTACAAATAGACTAAGGTTGCAATCAAGTTTGTTTGAAAATTTTATTATTTTGCACTAGTTATATAATAATAATAGGCACTATATTAATTAAAAATCGCTAAGGTGGTTAGAGCAACAGCACGGGACGCTGTGGATGCTAGTTCAAATCCTGCCTGTGCCTTAAGCTTTTATCATTCATAAACGATTTTTAATGAATAGGGCTTATACCAATTAGAAGCCGCTGTATACAATTCATTCAGCGAAAACTATATTTATATGTCGATTGAATTGGAATATATTAGGAATGTGGGTCAGGCTAGGTTGTACGTTAACGGCTATGCAAATCAGGGAGGAATGCCGTGTGAGCGCTGAGTGCTGTTGCTTGTCAGTTGCATATATTCCTCGACAGTTGGCGCCCAGGAGGAAATTGCGCGTGTCATGTTAAATTTGTATCTGCAGAAAAGATATTTGCATTAGTAAGAATCTGTTTCTGACAAGTTGTTTACTTGTACTTTCACTATTATATATATTGTTAGACGCGCAACATTACTATAATAATATTGTTGTCCTATACGTTGTCAAACTTAACAACACAACACACAAAAACACTAGTTCTCACCCCCGTCACGGTCATATGAGAAATTCAAGAAAGAAAAACACTAAGTTACACTCAGATATTTAAAATTATTGTTGACTAATAATCTATCAATTATAACTATAAACTAGGTGTTATAAAAGTTTATATATACTGTATAATTTTTGTCCATATGTAATATTAGTATGAATTTGGTTAACAAATACACATTTTTTCAAAGGCTGCAAGATTTCCGATGCATCTGGTGTCGTAAGTGCGTGCACGCGAACTGCAGACCCAGTTGGCGGGCCTTTTGCTCCCTCGGACCAGCCAGAGCATCAGTGGTGCCGCCCACACGGCTCCACTCAGTCGGGCCTGATGATGGATGGCTGCCAGATAGACCACCTAACGCTTCGCCCCTTATAGTTTTCGTCAATTCGAGATCTGGTAAGTTTCTAAGGGGGGGGGGGGGGAAACCCCCCAAAAAAAAAAAAAAAAGGGGGGAGCCACAAAAAAAAAAGGGGGGGGGGGGGGTTTTTGGGGGGGGGGTTCGAAAAACCCCCGGGGGAAACCACCAGGCGGGAACCCCCCCCGGCGTTTTTTTTTTGGGGGGGGGGGGCTTTCCCCGGGGGGGAATTCCAAATGCCCCCCCTTTATTTTAAAAAACAAAACCCAAAGGAAGTTTAATTTTTTGAAAATTTTTATTTGTTTGGAAAAAGCCGGGGCGGTAAAGTCGAACCCACGACCCATTCATTATTACCCAAATATTGCAGCCAGTCTGATTTCATAGTTTGATTAAGTCTGTACATGAAACAAAGAATAAAAGCCATAAATCAAATCTTATAATAAATAATTCCAGGGGACAATCAGGGCATAAAGTTTCTTCGCCGTTTCAAACAGTTACTGAATCCTGCACAAGTGTTTGAACTCAGTGGAGCGGGACCACGACTGGGTTTGAGGCTGTTCAGGCATTTTGCACCGCTTCGAGTACTTGTTTGCAGCGGAGATGGCTCTGTTGGCTGGGTGCTGCAAGAGATTGATAAACTCGATATGCATGTTAGTATTACATCTATTCTAATAGCTGAATCTGAAGAGTTTGAATAAACTGCCAACTTGGAACTACTGGTTCGAATTATTATTTTTTTGTGTTAGTTGGACTATTTATCGAGGAAAGCTTTAAGCTATTAAATATTAGGCTTTGATCATAGAGGGAAGTAGTAGAGGGAAATATTAAGCCTTGATTACTTCCATCGCGTGTGCGGGGGGGGGTGTTTAAAAAAAAAAAAAAAAATTTAAAAAAAAAATTTTTTTTCCCAAAATTTTAAATATTTCCGCTTTTTTATGTCATCTTTTAAGATTACTCGCAAGTACGCGGACAATGTCGTGGGTAACAGCTATATTTTATAAAGCTGAGGAGGTTGTTTGCAAAAATTATAAAGAAAATAATATGATGCCCAAAATAATTATTCCACGCGGATGAAGCCGCAGGTACAGCTTATTAGTGACAAAAAGAAAATACCATTTCTTCTTCTGCGGTTTTACTTTCTTAACAAGATAACAGGAGAATTTAATTGAATTGAAAATAACGTAACACAGCTCTATTTAAAATTAGTAGATATTATTATGTCTCTAACTGTCCTGTTCTTCGTTACAACGTACATGCAAGTAATAAATAAAAAGTGTATGGAACTTATTTAATTATATTTTAAGCTATTGTTCTTCTGGAAAATTGTTGAAGTCTTCTTGCTAATTTAATAAAGCTAAATAAAACACCATAATTAACCAATAAACAGCGGCAGGTTCAGACAGCTGTTCTGCCTTTGGGCACGGGCAACGATCTGGCTCGCGTGCTGGGCTGGGGCTCGTCGTGTGATGATGCAGCCAATCTGCAGCAGCTTTTGGAGCGATATGAACGGGCATCCACCAAAATGCTAGACCGGTAATAACCTCGAAAATATTAATAGTTAAAATAAAGAAGATATTGACTTCGAATCTACTAAGAATCGACAGTTCGTGGGTTCCATTTCCACTGGGTCCAAATTTAAATAAAACACTTTAAAGGTTTAAAACGCGATATATTAGTTAAACTTATTTCAAAATGATTTTTAACTTCGGCCCGACGTTTCGGAAAAACATGTGCACGTTATTTACAGTTTAAATCATTCATACGCATAAACTTTTTATTTTCAGGTGGTCGATAATGTCATTCGAACGTGCTCTGACAGCGCCACCACCTCCTCCTGTGCCTCCAGACTTGTTGGACGAGAGCGCATTGTTGAACAACTTGCAGGAAATTGTACAGGTCTGTTAACTATAAAAATAAAAAGAGTTATTTAATACTACCTGTACTTTATGCGAGTAATACATATTTAAATAAAACACTTTAACGGTTTAAAACACCGTAGTAATATTCGCTTCACATACTGGCAAAAGCGAAGACAGTTCGTCAAATCTGCAAGGATCCGGCCAGTTTCGCCAAATACCAACTTCGACGAAACAGATAGCGTAGCAGTTTTTACTGGACACCACCCATCATCGTAATTAAAATAATTTTCAAATGGGTTTAAGTGATATATATCGCGTTCAAGTGTTTTATTATAACATTATTGACGTCACGTACAAATAAGTATTTCAACTAAAGCATTTTATCAACAGGCAGGAGAAGTTGGTGAGACTAGTAGCGAAGCTCGTGCTGCTCTTCGAGAAGGCTGTGTGCGATTGGCTAGTGTTGGAGAGAGAGCCGGAGGTGGCGCTGCACGCGCTGCGCATCGGCTCAGGCGCGCTTTATCGTTGCTACTGCATGCGCGGGCGCATCTTGCCCATGATCATGCTAAATGCGAGTAAGTTCTGAATAAAGTATACTTACTATAAGCAAAGGAAACAACGTAAGAAACGAAACTAGTTATTTTCATACTGAATGTAGTTTATGAATGCACAACAAAGACAGTTATATATAAATAAATGTACTATTCAGAAAAATCTTTAAGATCACATTATATTAATCTAATATCCTTTTTTAAGGTCATGGGAGGCTTTAGAATCAACCAGTGAGAGTGAGCCCGAAGCTCAACCCGTTGCTGAGAAGGGCAGCATAGAAAAGACTGAAAAGGTAAACTTCATAATAACGAAAAAGACGCGTTTGCTTCTCATTTGAAGAAGTTTAAGTCAATAATAAATCGCTAATAGCCACTTAATATGTATCACAAGGCTTGAATTGTTTTCGAAATTAAGTTATAACAATGACTAATGTGGGGACATTTGTGCCTAACACATAATCTCATTATCATAGGAGCAGCTCAATTGGGCTGCGCGGGGTTGTGCGTTGGCGGGTCGTGCGGATAGCGTGCGACGCGCTTTGCGCTCCCTCGTGCGGACGCTCACCTTGCTTTACCCGCCGGCACCGGTGAGAAATACTAAACATTAAATAAATTAAAATGTAATCTATACTAATATAAAGCTGAAGAGTTTGATTGTATGTTTGAACGCACTAATCTCTACGGGCTCGAATCGAAAAATTCTTTATGTGTAGGTTAGAGAATTTATCGAGGAAGGTTATAAAACATGACCCGGTAATTGATACAAGCATAGATACAGCGATAAATGGGAAAATTATTCAACATTATGGGCTTCCGAGGCGTCTGCTGGAAAAACGGTTCAAGATACCCAAAAAATTAGTATAAAAGAATGATTCCTCTTTAAATGATCTAAAAAAGTACATGACGCTATATGTCTATCTTTGAAGACTAACTTGCAAGAACGACGGGAAGGGTCTCGACCGACGTCGTAGGTAACAGCTAAGTTTATAAAGATGAATGGGGTTTGCAAAAACGAGTTCGGATACCTAAGATAACGATTCTCTTAGACAAAGTCGCTGACACAGCTAGTCAAACAATATATGTTATTTCAATAAAACACTATAACGCGATATACATTAGTTAATTCTACTGGGAAATTATTCTAATGACGACCCGAGGTTTCGAATGCTTCGCAGCAGCCGTGGTCACGGAGGCACCACGCAAATATATGTCGCATTTAAAACCGTTAAAGTGGTTTAATTAAATGTGTACTACTCGCGTAAATTACAGACAGTGTTTTATACTTTATTTCATTTAAAAGTTACCTACATATATTATTAATAACTTTGTTACGTTGTCTTTGTCTATACACGGATTGTGTTTTTTTTTATCTTTCATAAACTCATGAGTTTTGTTATTTTCTTATTTGTAATTTAAATAGCATATTACCAAAAAGTCTATAGACTTTTAACTGAACAATATTTATTTAATACCAGAGCACGCAATTTCATAAATTTGCAGGAGGGTAATACAGGGGAACAGATCTGTAAAGGTGGTGAAGGGGGCGGAACTGGAGAAACGGAAATGTCAGCGCTGCCCGTGCCAAGAGCTTTTGCAGACAGCCGTCGCTCATCTGCAGCTAGTGCAGTTTCCGCCTCCTCGATGCAACCTGAAAAGTTAGTAAAATTACGATACATTTTTTGTTTCAATAGAAATCAGAAAAAATCTCACTACTGATCTTTTTAAGTCAAGTTTATTGGTGAAGTCAAAATATGATTTTCTTTTTATCTTCAATTTTATTACAGCATTCCAGACGTAGACGAAGATATAGCTAAATTAATTAGTACTAATCCTACGGATCAAGCTTACAACTTGGAGGTGGAGAAACGGGATAGGAGCAAAACCAGTTCCGCTTCGCCCCAAGATCGCCTTTCGCTTTCAAACTTATCGTCCTGTGATACTAGCTCCTGTAGAAACCTTCTTAGACCCGATGGGGAACATGCAAGCGCAACTTACAATAGTAGTAGTCTTACTATACCTAATCTAATCGTGTCAGATGATAGTGATAAGAGATCATTAATACAGGGAGAAACTTATGAATCGGACCAATTGACTATAATAGACATCGACAAACCGTATACGGATGAAGTCCACTTCCAAGACTTGTGTGAAAGAGACGCACCACTAAGCGTTGAATGCACGCCTGAGAGAAAGCTTTCCAGCGTAGACTTAGAGATTGATGCGACCAGTTCAGAGGGGTCCAACATTAGCGACGATTTTAGCTTAATTTCCGAAATCATTGATACCAAACCAGAAGAATTAGAAGATGGTGGTGGCTTGGGACACATTGATTCACCAGAAATATCAGAAACGACGTATATGAATTCAGAAACATTGCACGGAGAATCTATCATGGATGATATAAGCTCGATGTTGGGTCAAGAAGTGCTCTTAGCTATGATGGGTAAGAATGGAGAAAACGAGACGTATACAGATGACACGACTCTATTTACTTCTGACACTGTCTCTGATATTCCCCTTGACAGTCGAAATCCCAGTGTCGAAAAAACGCACGAATCTAAGAACCGATATATGTCTAAAATAAAGAAACCAATAGATGCCGATGTAGAAAAATTTGGTTTTGAAAACAGAGTTTTCTATCTCGAAAATGCTTCTAAGGCCGAAGAACAAGTCAAATATTGTAGCTTAGCTCATTTTGAAGAAGGAAGCGATATAGCAAGAAAGTCATTTCGGAAAAATATAAGAAAAAGTATTAAGAAACGTGTCGTTGACGAGAACTCTGTTAAGCATCTTCTGCCAAGATCTACAACAGAAGAAGTGCTCAGAACTGATACACCGCAATGTGAAGAATCGGCAAAACCACCAACTTTCTTAAGCTTAGAGGAAAAAAGCCCAATTGCCAATGACCAAACACCGGTATTTCCGCAAGTGAGTGTCGTAGTAGAGCCACCATCACCTTCACACAGTGATGATAAGAAGAGTGTAAAAAGTTCGAGCCGCATGGCTTCAGTGTTGAGCGATATTTTTGATCATGGCACCGACACACTTAGCGTGCATTCGCCTGAACCTAGTGTGGTTAGTGCAAGAGAACGACGTCAATCTGATAATCCCAGACTTTTAGGATCTGACTCCGAGTATGGACAATTTCTTAGTTGTTCACCGGCCGCGACGAGACGAATATCGTGCGGTAGTCTTTTCAAACCCGGCGAACCAGATAAGTAAGTAAAGCCAGTAAGTTTTCGTATACTATAATTTAATACAATTCAATTAAACCTCTGTAAATTATAATATCAACTTCTCTTTTCGTAAAATAGACTTTCAACTTCGGTGTCATCAATATGGGGAGAAGGTGGATCATTCGGTGGTGGTCCCACTAAGTCCGAGACCAGTGATAAAGCTAAAAAACTACCAATTATAAATCCATTAGTTCAACTACCGGCTTGGCCTCACGTCACGCAAGGATTCATAAGTCAATGCCTCTTAGCGAATGCCGATGCATTATGTGCTGCTGTTAGTCCACTGATGGATCCAGATGAAACGCTACTGGAAGGCTTCTATGAGCGAGCTGTTATGAATAATTACTTTGGTATTGGTATTGACGCAAAAATCACGTTAGATTTTCATAATAAAAGGGAAGAACACCCAGAAAAGTGCAGATCTAGAGCAAGGAATTATATGTGGTATGGTGTTTTGGGGTCAAAGGAATGGGTCAACAGGACGTATAGGTAGGCACAAAAACAAACAATTTATTTACGCGAATACTTTTACTTCTTATCTTACATTTTGGATCTCTTACAGACACTTAGGACAGCGTGTCCAATTGGAGTGTGATGGCCAAAGAATACCGCTTCCGGAGTTACAGGGCATTGTAGTACTGAACATACCATCTTTTATGGGAGGGACAAATTTTTGGGGTGGCACCCGAGGCGACGATTTATTCTTGGCACCATCGTTTGATGACAGAGTTCTAGAAGTGAGTTAAACGTAATTTAGACCAAGACAACGTTGCATTTAGTATTAGGAACTTTAAATTATAACTGTATTTCAATCAAAACTCTTGAAACATATGGGCTAGGATAAAATCTTTGTTGGATGTTATCGTTATGTACAAGCTGAGAACCTATTTTTTACAGGTGGTAGCAGTATTCGGTTCAGCGCAAATGGCCGCGTCTCGACTTATAAATCTGCAAAAGCACAGAATAGCACAGTGTCGAGCCGTTCAGATAAACATCTTGGGTGACGAGTGTGTACCAGTACAAGTAGATGGAGAAGCCTGGCTTCAGCCACCAGGATGCGTCCGTATTATACATAAGAATAGAGCGCAAATGCTTTGTCGATCGAGGGCACTGGAAACTAGCTTGAAGTAAGTTAAATGGGCATTTTTCAATGTAATACACACGTACGTAAAGAACATACACGTGCGTTAATGTACGTACAGCGATTACTTACCCATAGTAGCTTATAATTGGTGAAATTATATTTCTACAGGACGTGGGATGAAAAACAACAGCAAAAGGCACAAGCGGGTGCTGGGTCAGCGCGCTCATTGCCACCAACAGAAGCGGCTCATCTTCTTAATCTGCTTGATGATATAAACACCATTGTTAAACATGTACGTAATTTTACACTAAACGTGTACCGGTCTAGCCAGAATTTGACATTCATAAGTGTACCTTTTTTTACTGATGGTGTAAATGCCTAATGCACGCCCACGTCGGGCAAGTGTGACGTGGGAAATGTGGTAATTCGTATAGCCGACCAGAACCACTAAACACACTACCAGCCCTCTACGGTGCTTTAGGAGAGCCCTATTCATAAGAGCCTGTACTACATGAATAAATGATTTTTGACTAAAAAAAAGTAGCTTTGAAAACTAACAACATAATTCAATCAAAAAAAAAAAAAAAATCATGTAACTAATTAAGGGTAAACAATTAAATGCTATAAGATGTGAGTCACAACAATGGATGAATACGCATATATTTTATAATTTTCGGTAAATTTCTACAGTTTGTCACATTACGCAATTATGTCTTTATTGATCACGATTCTATATTCAAGTTATTTCTTTTTATAGGTCAAACTGGCTTGTATTAGTGAGAGCGGTTCTGGAAGGATTTCAAGCGCTCTATCAACAGCTAGACGGGTAGCAGCACAGGCTGATGCGCTACAGGACTCTGATGGGAGACTACTACCAGCACCACAACTGCGGCGGTTGTTGGCAACTCTGGTAAGAATTGATAACTACATAAACAATAATTGAAGAAGACATAGATCTTGTTACCTGCGTTGTTAGGTTATCTATACTAACACATGAAGTTGAAGAGTTGGTTTGTTTGTTTAAACGCGCTAACCTCAGAAAGTACTGGTTCGAATCGAAAAATTCTGTGAAATTTTTGTGTTGGATAAAACATTTATCGTGCAAGTCTATAAAACATGGCGCTGTGACTAATATGACGAATAAAACAGCAGGAAATATAGAAAAAACTTAGGAAATTCTTCACCTCTGTGAATTTCCAATGCTTACGCTGCGTAAACTATTCAAAATACGAAAGTATAACTTCTCTTTAAATTATGTAATTTTAAATTCGAATTTTAAGATCAACTTGCAAGAACGATGGGACGCGACCGACGTCGTAGGTAACAGCTTAGATTCATAAAGATGGAGAGGTGCAAGGTTTCCAAAAATGGACGCCTGAAATAACTATTTAGCCGAACAAAGTCGCTGTCACAGCTAATTTTTAATATTCATTAAATAGGAGTTATTTTAATTTATGTAAAAAAGAAACTCGGTGGTGGTATGATATGATGGCCACAAACAATGGCGCCTCGAGCGGATGTCTGTCGGTATACCTACAACAACCTCTCTCGGCGTCATTGAACTGTGGCTACCAGCTTCGAATATGAAGATCATAAAGAAGATTAATTAATTTTATCTACTCATTCACTGGAACAATTAATAAATCCACCTTTAATTCATTCCTTATGAATCAATCACACTCCAATAAAACCATAGGTTTTATCTTATTATTATTTGCCTGTCTAAATACGTAGTGACTAGAATTATCACCTGTTATGTAACTGGACCATCTTTGTAGCTAAATAATTAAATGCATTTTGTTTAGCGCGTGATCCTGGGTTCAAAGCTCGAGGTAATTAATCACATGGATTGGGCTTGTCACCAACTTGGCACCTACGTACTTATTTGTAAATTAATTCGATCAATGCAATGGATAAAAAAATAATTGTCTGCTCTTATAATACCTAGCAGAAACGAAATTTTACTTTTATTAATTAAATCACACGAATTGTGATATGTTCCTTTAAAGATCTTAAATTTTTTAATCAACAATAGTGAAACTCCTTAATGAACAAACTTCCTAACTTCTACAGAAACACATACATATATTATTCTATATAAATACTTAGTATATAAATCAAAAATCTCTACAGGTGGACACACATGGACCACAGCGTCCCGTGCTGCTTTTTATTAAACTGTTTTATTTAGCTCACCCCGTTTTTTTTATTTATTATTTATTCTTGGGTCAAATTTAGTAATTCAAATTTCACCCTCTTCCTGTCAACCGATTAATCTGAAATTTTGTATACACTTTGGATTTTGGTGACAATACAATTATGTTTATTCATTATTTTGCCTAACGACGAATTAAACGATTCTTCTATCGCATATTAATTCGATAATTTTTCGACAATTGATGTGCCCCATGGTTTTATTTTAGTTTAGTCTATGCATATGTTTATAATTCCCACGACTGTATCTATTTTAATACTTTTTGGTTTTTAGTACATTTATCTTAAACATTGCAATGTATGTTTAACATAAAACCGTTTAACCTAAAAAAGTATTTCTATTTTTTTACTAACATCATCAAATTTTTTAATTCCACTTATCTTAGCTTCATTTTTTATTTACAGCTATATATAAGCATCGAGCATTTGTTTTCTGTCTACACCAAGTCTTAATTGTATATTTCGAATATAATTTCAGATCGAGAGCTGTCATGAGTTATTAGACAGCGGTGCAGTGGGCAGCGCTTCGGGGGGTTTGCGGACGCAACTCGCGAGATGTGTAACAAAAGAAGGCCTTGCATATATCAACGCGGAAGAGGTATTTTCTTTTTTTAGATAATATTCACATATAAGTGTAAATCAATTAAAATGACGAGCTCATTTGGCCAATAAACAACAGGTCATTACACGTGTGAAAATTTAAATTGAAAATAAATTTTTAAAAATACTCAGGCACGATGTGATTCTACGCCGGCATCGTCAGCGCTATTCGATTTTTAAAATATATAGCTTTCTGTGCAATCATTTAGAAAATAATAAAGGTGTGGAAGGTCTGAGGTGGTAGGACTATCGAAATTACGTCCGGATCACGAACCATTGGCCAAACATGGTTGAGCCGTGAAGCCTCTTTTCGGTTTAGTCTGGTTTTCTGAAAGTTTAGAGCCAAAATAGGTCGATAGCGCATCCTGTTAGAATTTATATGGCTGGGGATTTTGCTGATGTGTTTTATCCTGCCTTGAAAAAAAAGAGCAACAAGAAATAATTTTTAATCGTTGTCTTTGACGGACTTGTTGCAATGTCGACGGGGCCTAAAACAAATTATTTTAACTAATTAAAAAGATGTTAATTAAGATTAATAACTATTTACATTGATTTTTCCATTAACACACACACGTACCTCACCCAGCCTCCAGATTTCATTCTAAGCACACTAAAACTGTCACTGGAAGGTAGAGATATCGATTTTTAAACCCATATCAATTACCTACAAGAATATACTTGCTAAACCTCTAATAAATTACCGTGTACCTTTAAAAAGCACGAAAATGAGCTCCCTTGGCATTTGCCCAATACAAATATCTTATACCTATTTGAACCTCATCTCTACCCTGTCATAACTCCACTTTCATCATATAGGCTCCGAAGAAAGGCAGCCGGTGGCTGAGAAGTCGCCGCAGCGTGTCCGAAGGCGGCACAGTATCAACGCAGACAGTCCAAGTCAGATCGTGGGGCATAAAAGAAGTGCAGACTTGGCTCGAGGCTATAGAACTAGGCGAATACTCTGAAGCCTTCTCAAAGCACGACATCACTGGACGAGAATTGCTTTCGTTGGCGCGTCGTGACCTGCGCGACCTTGGCGTCACAAAGGTTGGGCACGTGAAGAGGATTCTTCAAGCTGTCAAAGAGCTACAGTGACGACGACGTGGTCGTTCAGAGGAGAACGACCACAGATAAATGTTGACAGATAGCAGCGTTGTATTCGCGTAGGTTTGACAGTGATGGTCCACTAATTGCTTGACACTTTAGAGAGGCAAATATTTGCTACACACGCTTTGTATTACGCCTCTATTGTTTTAAGCGTTATTGGACCGTGTATTACTTGGTTTGATTGGTCCATCACAGGTAATAAACTATGATCTAATATTCTAATTGATAATTATAAAAGTTCTTGTTCCGTATTTTATTGATCTTGTAATTTAATTCTCCATTTATCATCTTTCTCGAGTGTGACGTTTAATTGTTCAGTATTGAGCTAATTTCCTGATGATATTCTAACTTGGAGACAGTTAGAATGTCGAAAGTTTCCCAATTAGATGTTAAAAAAGTCCTACGACCAATTAATTATTAAAATCTTACTGCTAATTATCTTTTGTTCGATTCTTACTATTCAATATTTAACATTTCGTCTCAATCTTTAAGATCAACGTAATAATATAGGAACTAAAATTTCGTTACCAAAATTGCGCTTAAATAACTCATAATTTGCCTTATGTGTAGAACATCGAAGTTATGATTATCCTTTGCTCTATTATTCAACGAACTTTTGAGTCCTCGTTTATCCCTTTTCCTCATTAGCTTGAACTGTTTACCACATAGGAAATAATTTAACGAATTAGTTAAAAATCTCTTGTAATAGTTCCAATTTGCCGATATAATTTAATGCTATACGACATTTGAAAAGAGATACTCTTTCAACGATCAGAGTTGAAATGAATTGTGAATTTTCTTGATAAAAGGGAACAGAAAGGCGAATTTATTAGTGAAAATTAATGAAGTTGATTATATTTGCTAAACCAACATTTACATTTTACAATTCAACTATTCATAATTTACATTTAACTGCAGAAATAACATTAATGGGTGCCATCTGAATACGATTTATTTTTTAACTCTAATAAAGAAATAACGGTATTTACGTTATTTTAATAGGATACACATTTAAACCAATAATTACAGGATAGTCTTTCTAGACACGAAGATAACAATTTTAATGTCGTAAAATAATGTTATAATGCATGTCTATTCAGATTAAATATTCTCGTTACTTAACTTATTCTGTAATATAACGATACTTATCACAATTATACCTTTTCTTAACGAATATAGATAGCGAGGCTTTATTTTATTAATGTAGGGATTACAATAGAATATGCACTATTTTCAAACAGTAACTACTAATTTTCAAATAGAAAATAAAATAGATACTGGTAACATCCAGTGAATTCGATAAACTTATATAGTGATAATAGTATCAAATTATTTCTTAAAATATATCTTTCTTTAGTATGCACAACCAATATATGTACCTACGTGTAATTCTGAAATCTTTAAAACATTTTAAAAGTAATAACAATAATTATATGAGCAAAGATTAAAGAAATTTATTATATTATGTAGCTAAAACGTAGGTTAAATTCAATTTATTTAGTCGTAGAATCTTAGACGCAATAGAACGTTCAATTTTATTAACCCTTAGATTAGATAGTTTACTGTAGGTGTCTTATTCTTGATTCTAAATTATAATACTAGCAATCCCATTATCTTATATTGTGCCGTTCGTGACGGATTAATGTGACATTAAAAATATCCTTTTAAAATAAGATGTGATCTCTTATTTTTATCTATAGTTCTAATGTTAGTGGTCGCGTTGGATTTAATACCGTTTAAATTAAGCAGATAATAACAGAACATCCTGCGTATGCAATAATTTTAAGTCCAACGCGATCGCGCCCTTAAAGGATCTGCCTTATAGGTGTTTTTATAAATTTACCTTTGAGGAGTTATTTCTACTTATACTCGGGTCGAATGAGCGAGGTGCGTATGTCTATACTCATATTTATATAGCATTTATAATCTTACGAGTTACTATCTACGCCTGTAACTTGAAACTTAAAAGCTTAAACTGAAGTTATAAAAAGTTAAACATTGGCGAATCTCGTTTCAAGTTCGCATGCGCAGGTAGTCTCTACAAATTGTCATAATTCATAGCCTAGAAGTTTATCGCCCGACGCGGCATTGCCTTAGATTTAGAACTACTTATTGATACTTAATAATACTAAATTGCTAGAAAAGACTAAGTCTTCGATATTGTTATCTACCTTCAACACTGACTACTTTCGTTTCTTGTAAATAAATTAACGAACTGTTGTGATATGCGTGAACGGTTTGATGTGTATTCGTCTTTTAAAATAAGAACTAAGTGTTTATTATTCGTAATGTTTTTTACATATTGTACTTATTACTTTGACTTCTTTGAAATGTAATTTTTGAGAATTTTCAAACCCCTCCTATTAAATATTATTCATATCAGTAGTAGATATATTCGTATTGTATTTTAAAGTATTATAATTGTAAATTTTCGTAATAATTCGCTTTAACGTTTTCCTATTATGCGTTCAAGAAACGGCTTCTGCCGATGTTTACAAACTTGTAATTTTAGTGCCTAATCATTTTTGAATATGCTATAAAATTTATTTACTTTTATTCTATTATCTTATAAAAAAAGAACTTATTGTCTCCTTAAATATGCTCAGTATTTACCGCAAATGTATCGTATTAAAATGAGTTGAGGCAATCAATGTAATTAAGAACTAAATGCAATGCTAACAAGAACAGTCTTTCAAAGACATGAAAATTCGAACCCGAGCAATATTCTTTACTATCTTAGTAGTTCTATTTAAATTTTCAGACCTTTGCCTGGGAAAGCCTAGCCTATGGTTTCAGGTAAAATTGTTTGTAATTAATTTTGGTTAAATTTATTTTAGAATTTACCGCTGGTTTACGCCACTGGATAAAAATTATTAAATAAAAAACGTTTGACGATTTTTGTACAACCCTATATTTCCGATGCTTTGCAGCATTCGTAGCCAGGGACGTCTACCTCTTAAAGGAGCTCAGTGTCATTTTTTAAACTTCTTAGAATATCTTTGTAAATTAATATTATTTTCTAAGATATTATTTTTAAACAATTTCTTAGTCTTACACGTTTCTCGAATGATTAAGACTGATTCTAAAAATTATTTGTTTCGGTGCTATACTGTTGTGTGTTTTAAGTTTGATTTATGCTTATAAAGAGAAGACAATGTATAAATGCGATGTACTATTTTTTAAATATGTAGTTGTAACCGTTGTGATTTTTATTTTAAAGTTGATTTCGTTTAATATTACATTAAAATGTTGCTAATTCGCAATTATTATTAATCCTATTTTGCTCAAAGTTATAGTAATCTTAAAATTAGTGAATTGTTTTAAAGTAACTTAAATTCTCATTTAGATAAAGTATTATTTAATTTCTTGCAAATATTGAACATTACTTAACATTTTCGGATCTACATAATAGATGTTGTCCTATTCATACTTGAGAATATTGTTATTGTTATATTTTACTATTATAACACCATTTAAGTAACGTCTGTCTCACTTTGGAATTACTCAATATAATGAATATTAGTAAAAATGATACATTTCTAAAATAGTAGAATGTAAATAGGTCAGTTGCGCTGTTTCGACTTCTTTTATGTAACTACCCACTAGCGCAACAATTTTATTGCAGTTAACCTATAAGTACTTCTCTGCCAACCTGTTTAAACTTTCTCTTTGTATGAATGCGCACTTTGTTGACATTAAATTTTGAATCAGATATCGTGTATTTTCTCTAATTTATATTTGAAATTCAATAAATTATACTGTTACTCATATGTTTTATTATTTCTTTTAAATTGTGATCAGTGAGATTGTTCTTAGTAGGAGTCCTATCGAAATCACTTTTCAAGTCGTTTAAAATTTATAGGAAAATGAAAATTCGAGATACTTGCTAACCGCCTTTATTCTTTGCAGTGTCTGACTCTTACCCAACAAATGCATCATTTCAACCACACTGGGTCCTTCACTAAGTCCACTCAAAACAGATCTCAACATTTTCATGAGGGCAGGAAATTTTATACCATTACTCGAGGAAAACTGTCTTAATCTGTCTTTTATGGCGTCTTGATTGAATTCTTGTAATAGCTCCAAGTTTTCGATTACAGCAGTACATAATTTTTGGTCTACATTACAGTGTTCAGATGGTAGGATCCAAAAGAAAGCAAATTTGCTCGACACTAAATCTTCTATCCTTGATATCCTTGACGTTGACCACTCAAGAACATTGCGAATGTGGTCTTCCGAAATAAATAAGTTTTGATCTTTGTATTTCTCTGCTATAAGCTCTTGTAACTGTGTGACCATATTTTTGCACAAAATGGAATCACGTATTTGACGTTTGATTTCTAATCTATTACATTCTTCAAGCAAGTCTGGGTTGAGCCTGCTCGGATGCGAAGATATTTTATCAATCTGAAACTGATGAGCACTGTGTTTATAAATTTAAACTGGAAACATCATTATTGACATCCTGAGCATAGACAATTGAACTATTATTTGGACTTTTATCTGCATGCGTTAAAGGTAATTAATACTTTTTGTTGAAGACACAAAATCAACATATTAATTAGAATTAAACAAAGATGACTTGCATAAGGATTTTTTTAAATTTATGTGGTGTAAATAACAAATAATATATTAACTCACTTCTTCTGCTAATTCATCAATAGTTTTTAGTCTTACACCTTCCCCAGGAACATGTTCAAAACCGCCTCCAGATAATGTTATATAGTTTACTAATCCTAATGGAAATATGCCTGGAAATTTTTATAAAGTTAAAATCTATTTAATGACATTTTGGAAAAAGAAAACTGTAGAACTTACCATTTTTCCTATAATCATCCACTTTTACATCACTCTGCCGTTTACTAAGTTTTGTACCATCTGCATTTACTATAAGTGGCATGTGTCCAAATTGTGGAGGAGACCAACCAAATGCTCTAAAATTTACAGTGTTTTCAAATGGGACCTATATATATCCTATGAAAATTTATTGTTACAGCTGGGTTAACCAACCTGTAAATTAACAAATGTTTTGTTGTAGATATCTGCCATTCAACGCCACGAAGTACATGTGTTATACCCATTAGGTGGTCATCCACAACATTGGCAAAGTGGTAAGTTGGGTATCCATCACTCTTTACCAGCACCGGGTCACCCTCTATTAAGGAAACGTCATATGCAATGCCACCAAATATTAGGTCTTCAAATGACTGACACTCTGAGGACAACTAAAAACCTTCATCCATTATGTATTCATTTATGACAGAGTTTATAACATGAAGATTGCTTTCATCTTACCTTGAATCTAATACAAAATGGAATTCCAGCACTTAATTTTTCTTTTACTGTTTCATCTGTTAAATTCCTACATTTATTATCATATTTTGGAAGCTGCTGCCTTTTCACAGCATCTCTTTTTAGGACATTTAATCTGCGCTCAGAGCAGAAACACTTGTATGCTGATCCATTGTGTAATAAGGTTTTAATGTACTGTCTATAAAACATAACTTATAAATATATGATTTTAATTTAGTATTGCGATATATAGTAATGTATTAATGTATATTTTGCAAAATTCAAATCCTAAACATCCTATTATTATTATTCTTGTATAATGTATATATGAGTAATCCTATTACAATGTTATGGAAAAATTAAACATACTATTACAACAATTTAAGAAATCGATATAACTTTAAAGTCCCCATTTCAGATTAAAATGGAAAACAACTCACTGGTAAATATGCAAGCGCTCACTTTGAATGTATGGGCCGTATTTTCCGCCGAGTGCAGGGCTTTCATCACATACTATACCAGACCAAGCTAAATCGTTAACAAGTGCATCCATAGATCCTTCCACTTTTCTACTTTGGTCAGTATCCTCTATTCGTAATATAAAAGCACCGCCATGTGATTTTGCAAATAAATAATTATACAGAGCGGTCCGTAAACCACCTAAATGCAAATATCCAGTCGGACTAGGCGCAAATCTTACTCTGGGTGCTGCTTCGGAACTAAAATTTCTTAATAGATTCCTTTTACATTGGTTATTTAGTGAACGTTTTAATATTAGACACCACATAATAATGATGATCCTAGAATATAGTTCTTTTAAGAAATTATACTTTGCACAATACTGAGTCAAAAACTAATCAATCCGATGTGTTAAGTGTTTAAGAGTCAGGTTGTTTTCTCCATCAAAATCAGCTGGGCCTGGCAGATTCATGACACTAGTAGTCACTAGTCAGAGGCATAATTTCCTACAACACCATATTGTATGGTTACCGAGTTTAAATTTTTTAACCATTAGCTGTTACCAAAGTAAAAATATCTTAAAATTTGTTTTAGTTTCTTTAAATATTTTAATAGATGTTTTGGTAGATAGGCGGTGTTTATAAAAATAAAAATATCGATAATCTATGATTGAGCATGACAGCTGACGTGCTAAGTGAAATAGTATTAGAAAATTCTGAGAGAAAATAATATTATACAAATTGTCTATGTCTTTGATTGTTATTTCGTATCTGGGTTCTGATGTCGAAACAATAGTGAATTTGGTGAAAGTTTTAGTTATTTTTAACAAAAGTCGAATAAAAAATGGTCAGTAAACAGTCAATACTACTGTGTCTTAAATAAAGTGTTATTAAAATGAACATATAGCTCGATCCAACAAATATTTGACAGCTGAGCATAATAATAAGGTTATAACATTATACTGCGTTTTCTTTTCAGAATAAATTGAAATCATCACAGAGGGATAAAGTAAAAAAATTCGTTGCATTTACGCAGACGACGGAGAGTACAGCCATATATTGTCTTTCGCAAAATGATTGGAAATTGGAATTGGCAAGCGACAATTATTTTCAGAACCCAGATGCATATTATAAAGACTCTGGCAAAGCGTCTGTCGATAGAAAGAAGGTTGAACAATTATTCAATAAGTACAGAGACCCACAAGAGAACGATAAAATTACTGTTGATGGTGTTATGAAGTTCCTAGAAGACTTAAACTTAAGCCCTGAATCTATTTTAGTTCTTATTATAGCATGGAAATGTAAAGCAGCAGTTCAGTGCGAATTTACAAAAGATGAGTTTACAATGGGCCTTGTAGAACTCAGTGTTGATAGTGTAGACAAATTTAGAGCTAAATTACCCATGCTTGAAACTGAAATTAAAGACCCAAACAAATTCAAAGATTTCTATCACTTCACATTTAATTATGCAAAAAATCCTGGCCAAAAAGGCTTAGAATTAGATATGGCAATAGCATACTGGAACATTGTACTCAGAGGGAGATTCAAATTTTTAGATGCGTGGTGTAAATTTCTTACGGTATGTTTATTTTGTGGAGTTCACACAATTACCCTCGTCAAACATAGTTTTATGGATTGCATAAAGTATTGTGTTTCCCAGTACACCCAACTATATCATCTTAGATAAGATTTGCAAACGCTTTTATAGCTTTGTTTGCATCTATTTACTTATTGAACATTAATAACAAAAATATAATGCAGGAAGTGCAATAATTATTAATGAAATAAAAATTGCATTTTACAAAACATAGATGCAATAATACACATACAGTTTGGAGATAAAGCTAAGGCTTAGTATAATATTATACAGCCTTGAAGATTTAGGTTTTCTGTTATTTTTTTATCCTTTCTATATGTATAATATCCATATGTTAGATTTTTGTAGGTATTGTATTTTATGTGTTCAGTCATACTTCTCGTGTCAGCTTTAACCCTTACAGGACCATAGAGCATAGGCTGAAACTAAATATACAATACAATATTTTAGCTAATTTGGGTGTAAAGTATTTTACTTTAAGAACATCACTAGAAAAACATAGTAGCATGTATAGATTTCACATATTTTCATATGTTTATTTTGACATTCATTAAAAAAAATATTGATTCAATAATAATTTAATAATTAATAACGAGTTTTCTAGAAGGTGAAAATATTTCCCTTGAGTGTGAAAGAACTTAAAATCCTTTAAGATTTAATAAGAAACTATTTCTGTAAATATTTATTATTATATTTCAGGAACATCATAAAAGATCGATACCAAAGGACACATGGAACTTGCTTCTTGATTTTGCTACCCAAATTGATGATGGCATGAGTAATTATGATGCAGAAGGTGCCTGGCCAGTTCTCATTGATGACTTTGTAGAGTGGTGCCAGAAGCAGGAACTTACCGTAGACAGCTTCAAAGGACTAGAGCCTGCTTCTGGCTAGCTAATACTTCGACGGCAGAACGAAGTAGTAAGTCAGAAGAGAGAGCAATGCAGCACTGTGAAGCAGGTTCATTACTTTCTGTGTTCACTGTTTTCATGCTTCGTTCTGTACAGTCTTGAACTTTGCACAGTAGAATGGATTGCAATCATTATTGTTTTTGATTTATGTAGCTGACCATTTTCCTAGGATGTCCATGTTATTCAAAATACCTGTACATAGCCTCTAATGTTCGTCCGTTAATATAGAGAAGACAGTAATCAGTTTAGTAAGAATATACCAATTCACTTGTAGGTTTCGAATTTTTCAAAAAGATTTTAATCTCGTTATTTATAGTGTAACTTATCTGTGAAGGTTATAAATTAAGATGTAAATATGTATATATTTTATCATTGATATTAATTTTGCGATGTTGCTTAATATTCGTCTCCTCGCTTTGTGGTCCACTTTCTTGAGGGTTGTGGCCACCTCCATCAATATTCCTCAATGGTTTTCGTTTCTTTTCCCATGGAGGCTAAAGATTATCAGCACCTCCTTGGTGTGATTATTTTAAAAGGCAGTAATAATGAGATGTATATGTAATAGGTGCTCAGTCAATCCAAATTGTTACATTTATATAAGGGGTCATAAAAAAAAATAGCAATACCATCAAGAAAACACATTCATCATCTCATTTTGTGACTTTTGTTATGATGAAATTAACAATATATAATAAAAATCGACATTTTGGTACTTAGATAAATGTACAAATAAAAAGTTGATGTATGGCAAATTGATTAAATAATTAATAAACTGTTAATGTAAATTGATTGTTGGTTTTCATCTTATTCATTAGTTTAAAATATATCTGCAAGAAGATTATCGCAACCTTTATCTCACCAAAGAAATAATTCACATCAGCAGCATATAAGTATGAACATTTTAAATACAATTCTTCTCTTTAATTAAATAGTGTGATAAATATTATTATTATACATCAATTCGGGTTTTGAACCCAGATCACACCTCTTAACGCAACATTCTTTGTTCCTAGAACAATACATCGCATTTATTTTTATTTTTCGCTCTTTGAACCCATTAGGAGTGCGATAATTGACTATCACTCCAATATGGCGTTTTGTTATTTAAATCAAATTGTTTATACTTATAAATAAGAAAGATAATTTTATTTATTGTGTAATATACTCGTGAAATTTTTAACGATTTAATCGAATCTACATATTTCATAATTAATACCTACTACAGAGAAGAAATCAAATCGTCCATACAAATAATCATTGTCTGATGTTGACACTGACATTTATCTCGAATGTCATTTAACACCAACATACAAGAAATACTGGGTAGCCAATTTTAATTTAAAGAACATTTCTTTTCATAAATATTCTTAAAAATATATTAAAACCATGTCCGTGCGACTCGGTGGAGCTTTGAGAGAACTAAGAATACACTTATGCCAAACAAGTCAACAATCTGCTGGAGTGAGGTAAATTGGTTACATAAATCGCTTAAAATTTGGCTACGAAAAACATTCATTTATAATTATTTATTTCAGGGAATTCATTAACAAAAATTATGTGAATATCAAGAAAGAAAATCCTAATTTTCCAATCCTGATTCGTGAGTGCAATGGCATCCAACCACGTATATGGGCCCGTTATGGTATACTTTTTATTTCATTATTATATAGCATAATATATCTTACCCATTATTAACATAAAGGTTCTAGTTTAATAAAACATTTTCAGAAAAAGGTTGTGAGGCTAGCGAATCTCTGTGTGGTTTAAACAGTGATCAAGTTTTGAGTGTCATTTACAAACTGATCCGTCTTTGAAATGGTTTTTAAATTTTATATTGTAAATATGTAGCTGTAATGGGGAAAGTTAACCATAAACAGTTTAATTGTTAAAAGGGTTCATGTAGTAGTTAATTGTTAAAAGTGGTAATTGAATAATGTATGTCTTTTAGTATTTGTTCTTATGTTAGCATTAGAATAGTTGATAGTAAAAAAACTGCCTTACGTATTAGTCAGTGTAAAACTCTTTTAAAATTAGTTATAAGTAAGGCAGTTTTTTTGGTTTTTAGGTAGCTAAAAATTGCCTAACATATTCAAGGGTGTTTCTGAATATACTTTGTTTCAGATAAAGGTGTTGAGCGCAGCGCACCTCTAACAAATTTATCGGCTAGTGATGTCCTTGCTGCTTTAAAACAATTTGTAAAATAAATTTACTATTTTAATTATGTAATTAGTTAAACTAAAATACAAAAGGGAAATAGATTTGTTTCAATCTTTTAATAAAACAATCACAAAACACTGGCACTTGCATTGATATTTATAACAGTTGTGTTGACTAAAAAAAAAATCAATGACAGTTGAGTAAAACACATTGGGTGTTAAAAAATGGTACATAATATCAAAATGTTATACTTATAATAAGTAAAGCTTAACAGCCTAGGTACAATTGATTTATTATTGAATATGATTAGAATCAGGAACTAAATTATTTTTCATAATGTATATACATACATAATTATGATACAAAAGCACAGAAATACAAATCTAAATCAAAAAAACTCATCTATTATTTTGTAACTTGTTATGTTCAGTCATTTTGTGGTAGTCAAATAGGACATTGGCATATTATAACAGCAATAATATGATTTGGCCTATATAGAACACAATTTTTTGTAAGCTTACCTATTTATCTTCATTATAGACTTATGTAACATCTATGGCTAGGAGTTTGTGCATTTTACATGTATGTACTTCATACTTATTCTATTATAAACTACTACATAGAAACTACAACTTGTTCACTATTTAAAAATTTAATGTCCCAACTTGACTAAGACACATTTGATCTATCAATCTCAATCTGGTGTCACTTAAATGGTGGTAGTCCAAAGACTTCAGGTTTAAATTGAGATAGACTCGGTAAAACAATAGTTGCATGTTCAGTTAGTTTCTTATCTAAATGTGGGTCAGGTACCATGACTACTTGCATTCCTGCTGATATACCTGCTGTTACGCCATGTGGAGAATCTTCAAACACTAAACACTGAAATCAAAGAAAGTTTTTAATAAGACTGATTTATTAATCAGTAGTAATAATAAATAAAAAAACTATAATAACTGTTTAAAACTAGTAATGACTGAATAGGCCTTGTGCAATGTTATCTAGTGAATCTCCTTCCATATAAATTCTTTTTCGTAAGTGATATGTATAACACAAACATATATCTTTCCAAAAACTGAATAAATGGTTTATTGTTTATCTAACTTGTAATGTTAAACCTTATTACCTTACTAGGATCTGGTTTATCTGGAAACCTAGCAGCAGCAACCAGAAAGATGTCTGGATGAGGCTTGCCATATTTAACTTCCATATCGGTACTACCCATTACCATGTGATGAAAATAACTAAAGAGTTCTTTATAACTTGCTATTTTTGTGTCAACTGATCTAGCACTAGATGATGTTGCTAGTGCAAATGGCACCTTAGTTGTATGTAAATGACAAATTAACCTTTCAGCACCTATAATGAATAAATATAATTTTAGGGTTTTGGGAAAATATTATGTCAATAGATATAGATATAAAAATCTGTCTATTTGGTTTGATAATTTAAAGCCTTATAACTTAGAAAAGTCAAAATAGCTGAGATTTGAGCAACTTTAATTTTTAATCTATATTCAATTTCCTTTTTTGATAAGATTACATCTATTGATTATGCTATCTTAGCAACTGCACTGGTCTGCATGAACATTTCTAGAACAAAATATTTTTGGTAGAAAGTAACATACCATCCATCAAAGGAGCATTAGCTAACATTGTATCACCCAAAACAAGCAACTGATCCCTAAATTCTTTTGGTGTAATTGGAAGCTTTAACTCTTTACATAATATTTCAGACAGCCTTTGCTCTGTGCCTCCTAGAATTTTCATCATCAACTCATCTGTATATTGATGGCCATACTTTGCACAAAGCTGAGTTATCATTTTCTTATATACCTGTTCTGTGTCTGAAAATTATTTCAATAAAACAATATTCAGTATTGCTTATATTTTAGCGAATTGTACACATTTAAATAAAAAAACTTTTACACGGTTTAAAACGAGCGAAATATATTAGTGATTTATTTTAACTCTGAGCCTTTTCAGATGCTCTGTAGCAGCTGCGGCTTTACAGTTGCAGGACTTTTTTTTCAGTTTACAGGACAGGAAAAATTATGAGTATATTCTTAAACGGTGAATGTTTTGTTATTATTTAAAGGTTAAACTATTATAGCAACATGTCTTATTTTCTTACCTAATAATAAACCATCCATATCAAAAATACAGTGACTTACTGTTCTCGGGCTTTTCGTAGATAAAAATCTTATTCCGGCAGTATTAGTTACTGCCTTTAACAATAACAGTCTCATTTTCAAAGCTTCCAAGTATTATGTAAAAGCTAAAGATTTGTTCTCTCAGGAACTTTCAATAATACAAGCAAAACTTATGTCACAAAGCTTAAGTCTATGTTTTTAAAACAAATTTTATTACTGAATGAAAAAGCGCCAATTATTTATAAATAATAAACTTAAATTCTCGCAATATTTTAAATTGAACTAAGTAGGAACTAATTCATACTGGTTTTCATGAATCGTACCAATTTACACGAGTAATAGATATTATTATTATTGACTTCCTTACAGTGCTGCCATACCTCAAAGACCCAATCCACATACCATATAATAATACTGTCAATGTCAAGCCTACTTCCATATTTTCTTTTTCGTTTTTGGTTTTATAAAATATACATTTTTCGTTGGTATCAATTTTATATCCATGCGTTTAATTTCCCTAAAAACACGGAAAAGTGCACAAGCAACACTCACCTAAAATGTCAGTGTCTACGTCACTTAACATTGACTATTGACATGACTTCTACATAGATGATAGTAAATTGCTTTTAACGCTTAAACATTTTAACTGAGCTTAGAAAAAAAGCTTCTTAATACGTGCTGTGTAGCAAATTATATTGTGAAATTTACAGTTAGTAACGAACTAAAATTTTTGTTTTGGGGGCAAAGAGTTGTTATAAATCTGTATCAGTATATTAAATCGTTAATAATACAGTACGTTTTACTCATATAATTTTATCTACATATATTAAAACTAGAACAATATTATATAATTTAAACATTTATAATTAAGAAGTTTTTATACCTTATATCAAGAAACTAAACAATATAAGTGTTTCTACTTAAACGCTTTTTAAACAGCGTTTAAAAAAGCGTGAAACCGAAAGAAAGCCGCAGCACTACGAGCTCTGACTAGCGAGTTACGAGGTTACATTTTGACAGCGCAGTCAGCTTTCGAGCTGCGGCCGTCATGGATCGCAGTTGAGTCGTTGTGTTCGTAGCAAATGGCACATAAATTGTCCAAAGTTTATTTTTACTAAAATATTTCGTTTTTCTATAATTCATCGAAAGCCTCACGTGAAATAAGTTGAACTTTATTTAATCATTTAATAAATTAGCCACGGACATGGCTGTGAACGTGTGTTGTTGTGTGAAATTGTCGCCTAACAAAAAATCGATTTTTGGATTGACAATGCCGAGCCAAATATTGTATTTTGTTTTGTTTGCCGGATTTTTGGTGACTCTGTCGGCCGCGAATACGGAAATGTCATGTGCTAATGTGAAAACCATATTCGAGAAAAAAGGAATGTTATCGATGATCGATTTACAAGAGCAGCCGATTTCAGGTAAGATTAAGAATCACGCGCCCCCTTTTAAAATAGATTATTGTTTGTTATTGATTACATATATTGTAATTGTACTGATAAGTGTTTAATCAATCGCTGTCGATCTATTCTAGTAATCTTTCTTTATTTATTAAATAACTTTTATGTAGTTTGTCGGTAGTTACATACATACTTAATTTTTAATATTTATAGATTTACCGAAATAGTAGAACAAAGGACGAAATAAAGTGTATAGGTAGTATGTTTTTATTTGTGAATGCATTAACCATAACTTAATAATAAGCAGATATTTGTTGATATTATATGCAATATATGTATTTGATCGAAATTTAAACTTAAATCTGCATTAGTAGTATTTATTCCTCATTCATCTGCTTTGAAGTAGATTTGCAGCGCTTCCGTCGACCGTTATTTTTTACCTGAGATTAATATGACCATGTTATAAAAAATACCTTTCGCAGTCTATGTTGTTTCTAGGTAAGTAGCCAAACATTTAGGTAGTAGTCTAACTTACAAGTAGTTCTAACTTACGTTTTCACTTTCAAAAGATTGTTTACAATTCAAAATACGTAGCATTATAGGTATGTCGCACGTAAAATAAATTTAAACTAAAATTTAGCAGTAACATTTTTAATCTGTATTAGGTATGCCTTCATTATCCTTTTCACTAAAGCCTTTTGCCAGAACTAGGATCTATAAGAGGATTAATTCACCACGCTGGTAATGGCACGTTCGGACACGTCTTAGTTCTGGGGGCAATTCTCAACTTGGCGATAAGCTAGTCTTATTATGTTAACTCATAACTGTACAATTTCTTTAAATTTATTTTGCGAATAATCTCCACTTATTTAGTACGGAGATCTCATGTTATTCTTCACTAGCGAATAGAAGATTATACCTGGAGAGTGTAGGCAAACACAGTCGTCCTTATCACATTATACAGTCCTTATCTTTCCTTAAGATATTGCAAGGACCTTTACAATCATTAATATTCCTCTATAACCTGTTTTGCAAGTTTAATACCTATATTTTACTACGTCAGTTGCAGTTTATCCGACGCCAAAGTAGTTATGGCGAACAGACCAGTTGCTATTAAGATAGTCTGCGAGATCACTCCTACCAAATATGGTTTGATACTGTCGAGGTTTGCATAATGCCGGCATTAGTGCATCTTTTATAAGTTTGCACAATGCGACAAATTTTTCTGCATCGAAGATAGTAGCAGAAAGTGGTGCATGCGGAAATCGATGTAGTTTTTATCACACGCATATGCAACGGTTTGAACGATTTTTAATTTTACTGGGAATACGTTAAGCCTAGAGTATACACAGATTTAATGACTACAGCCGCACTGTCACGTCGTTGTGGGTCAGTGGTTTATATTCTATGACGAAAGTGACCTGTTTTTGGGGGGGGTTTTTTTTTTTAAAAAAAAACCGTTTTTTTTGAATTTTTTTTTTTTTTTTTTAAAAAAAAAAAAAAAAAATCCGGGCCTTTTTTGGGAAAAAAACCCTCGACATATTTTTCGGATAAAAAGTATACCTTTGTTGTTGATTATTAAGTCTGCATAATATCATAATAATCTTTGATTGTCGTGCACTACGATGGTGTGACGTCCACAAATGTAATATTCTTTAATATGTCTCTGAACACTATGGCATTACACGTGCTTTATGGCTACAAATTGGAAGTTATTATATACGAGTTCATGGTCGTCTGAATTTTGATAAATTATTATAGTTTAATTATGTATGCAATCCGTGAATACCGGGTTGTCGTGACGACTGCCGGCAGTCTACTTAATCTAGGGTTGGCACAAATAACATGAATTCTATCCACCACACCACTAAACCCACGTAACGCGTAACCCCGATTTTAACATCCTTACCACATAATTAAGAATACTAAAAAAGAGTAAAATTTAAACAATAAACGAAATGCAGTATAGGCCCTATCTTTGGTTCTTATATTTAGCAAACGTGTTGAATTTGTATGAAGCCGTATGATCACCGGAAGGGGATGTTTGAGTCATTCATTTATATTCACGATACAGAATGTCTCATATATCGTACTTGTTAGAAGAATATTAAGGCAGGATTTTTTTTGTATATAAATCTTCTTAACATGTCATTCAGTGTTTTAAATTACGAAGACTTGACGAATAGTCTTCGATACGATATATTGTAAGATATCGAATAAAATAATCTTGTTTTATAAGGATGTCGTTATCGGTTAGCGAGGTATCCTGTTTGAGTACTTTCTCAGCTAACCTATCTATCATGCCTGTCACGGGAGTCAGCGCGATAACGAATGTCCACCTTGGGAAAGTAGAATACTTTTTCAAAGTTTGTCTTGTAAGTATTCTTTCGATATTAAAAAAGGACTAACACACTTCATATTCGAGATTTATACTTGTACATTTAGTTTGAGTGTGATCAAGAAAAACTTTACGTACCTATACTTGCCACTGTTTTACCTGTAAATTTCTATGTAACACTAGACTTATTTGTTATGTTCTATTTAGGTCTACATCTTTTTCTAGATAAATAACCGATAACCTTTAATACAGCTCAAACTTTCACGCGCATAGATCAATATAGATAAATCTATAGTTTGTTCAGCATTCCTGTATTGACGGGTACCTTAATAAATGGTATGACATACAAATTGTCTAGTGGGTGGACTGGTTGACTGTTGACAAGCCGACAAAGATTGGGTAAACATGGAAGAGGTCGACAACCGCGCACCTCAGTCGTATTCATTCAATTCCGTATTACACTTTATCATTACCGTCTATAAAAACTTTTAATCTTTTGGAATTTGTCTATTTGCTATTACCGAATTTGAACTTCCGCTTGTGGTGTTTCCTTTCTGAATATAGGCATAGTTTTTTGGTAAAAACTAGTATTAGAACAGTCGTGAGTCGAATGCTTTTACGTGAATCCTCCTACCTTCACTACCCTTAGTGATTCATCCCTTTTTCATTGGAGACTTCTTATATCGATGACGATTGTAGCATATATTTTTTATAGATATGTATATATACCTTGTAGTGAACGATTTGAAGATATTTTTTAAATTACCTATTTCAGATCGAAACATTACAACTTATTGAAACGGTAGCTCAATTTCTTATGCAACGGCACCGTACGCTATTGGTTGAGTCTTTTATTTGTTGATACAATCTGTTATGTGCACAAATTAGTTAAGTAGTCACAGTTGCTACAAAGCATCCGAAACGTCATTAAAATATTATAAATAATACATTTCGCTTTTTATTTTATTTAAAATTGTAATTGTGTGTCGTCACCCAATTGATGTTATTAAAATTTAAGGAGAAAGCCTTATGGCAAATGAAAAAGCTATATTTTTCGCGCTTTCACACGGGAACCAAGACGGCCAGCATGTCGAGCTATTGAATTAAATTCCAAGCCATGTTGAATAAATTGGGTGTGTCCTCTGGCTACCTACGTACAGGGTCGGTTCCTATACTCCTCCTACCTTTATTTGAACACCCGAACCCTTTCAATCATTTTAAGTGAATAAGGCTCAATCAGTCACAGGCTCTGACAGAAGCTTTGTGTCGCATCTCGTAAGCATAGCCTCTTTATTTCGTAATTAGACCTTTCAATTCCCCATACGGCCGGATGTGATTTTGTACATTATTGTAAAAAAAGATACGCGTTGCTAATCAAGTAACTGAATGCGTAAGAATCCATTCTTTATTAAAATAAAACTGAATAATGACAAAGATTCTTAGGTATCCGACATTAAAACGCAATTCTGATATCACGAAAAACGTAAGAAAATATTGAAAACTATAACGTATACAATTTTAACGGTTTACGGAAAACAAACGGGAACTTGAAGAATATTAGTATATTCTTCTGTGATCTTGACGTTGTTGACGTTTTATTCAATTTATTTAAAAATCAGTACAAGTGAAGTATGCTTGAATTTTTATTCGCTAGCCATGATAGTTCGTTGGGACAGACTTAGTATATAAAATATACAGATCATGATAATTAATATCGTTAGGTCACGATTCAAAGCGATACAGATTCTAATCTAAGAACTGAAAAGATAACATGTTTTGTATTAAGTCAATCTAGGTTTTAAGTTTATTTAAGGAGTATTTTACGAATTATATGTAATGATCTTTTAATCTTTTTTGTAAATGCGAAAGGTAAAAGTGAGTAAAATCAAAAAGTATGTGTGTATTACAGATTATCTCACATTTGAAAATGTATATATTTTTGACATGATGGCTCTATATTAAAATTACGAGACGTTTTCAAACTGATTTTCTTTAGGTGCAAAGCATAAGACATTGAACCTTAATTCATCAGTGTTGGGGTTGAAATTTCATTCCGCGAGTAGTGTATACGTAGCAATAGGTTAAACATAATCGACGATGATGTGTAGGACGGTAGCTCATGTGGTTAGAGCAACAGCACGAAACGCCGTGGTTGCCGGTTCAAGTCCTGCCTGTGTCGTACAATTTTTTCAATCTATTTTTATTTTATATAACATACTAACCCAAAGTGATTGTTCTAGAAAGATGTGATTTAAAAAAAACGCAGAGCCTAAGCCCGAATATACAGGAAGTAAAAACTTAGTGTATTTTAAGTGCAAGTAATGTGGTTGCGCTTTATATTAATTAAAAAGCCAAACCGTTTCGCAATTTGCAAAATCATGCACGTCCCATAGCATCAGCGGGACATTCCGTTGCGATGCAGGTGGCGACCTGTTAGCTGGACCGGTCTCGACCGCAAAAACATCCAGTCTTTTGACAGCCGCGTACGTTTATGCAAACACCCCGCCATTACGTATAATTAAAACGTATTAAGATTAATGAGCCGCACTGATGTAGAATTGACAGTTTGCCGTCGGCCGTTTTAGTTTTATATGGTCACATCGGGTTGACTAACCCATGTCGGTTCGGGGTGTGCCAAAAACGTATTACAAAGGTAATTATAAAGGTTTTGCGTAGGTAAGAG